CTGTGTTGAGCATGTCTTGGTGCCACGTTTCGAACGCTCGCTCAGTAGATTTGTTGCCAAGGCACTGAGTAATTCAGTCGGGTAGCCGGCGCATTTTTTTGTGCAACCTGAGTGCCAAAGCTTCTTTGCACTTGATGAGGGTAGGGCCTCTTCAGAGCACTCCTGAGAACACCCAAGGCAACTCCGTGTTTCACAAGCTTTGTGTGTGCCAAATTGAATGGAAGAAAGCCCTTCTGTGACCTCGGCACATACTCCCAGCAAGTGTGCAGTCTATCAACATACAGCACCAAGTCTAAAAACCTTAAGCAACCGTTGCTGGAGAGTTCTATGGTTTACTTAAATGCGTTGAGAATGGCCGCGAACACGCTAAATATCTCGTATTATGTACCAACTGGCCCTTCAAGATACCCTTCAGCAATAATCTTTCTATGTAGCTGTAATTATTTGTGGTGGTCTCAATAAATTTAGTCTTCCTATTGTAATTATAGTACCAAGAGCTATGTAGCCAGCCAGAAACAAAAAAGATAGTCTTTAAGTGAGGGCTTAAGGGTGATGCATGCAGACTTGTACATGTTAAAGAAAAAAAAAAGGTCACAATTACCTTCTCGAAAAATGTAATAGATTATAGTGGCCAATTACTGCAATAGAGTAACAGATGAACCTTTAAAATATATTTACTTGCATTTGCATCACCTTCCTTCCAACCTCCTTTTACATTGTGCAAGAAAGAATCAAACAAGCTATAGCCTAGTACTGCAGCACTTGTCAGCGCACAAGTTTCTCAATACTTTGGTCAATCATCTTCCCTTTTTTATCAGTGAGACACTAAACATTGAAATTCATGGCATCCAAGCTATACCAAATGAGGACTTGCTGTGTAAGTTGAATGGTGTGGCCAAGATTGCTAACCTGCCAGAGCTAACTGGAGATGACATAGGCACTATCCACAGACTCCCGTTAAAACCAAACAAAACACCCTGAATCACAGTTCGATTTGCCCAGCAATCAACTTGTGATAAGTGGCTGGGAAAGCGAAAAACCCTAAGAGATGCTTCATCGAGTGTTTCGATCACTGAAGACATGACCCAGCAAAACAGAGAGCTGCTGCGCAGCACAACAGACTGGGCACAGAGCAATGGCTGTCATTTTTAATGGCCCTGCAACGGCAAGCTTCTCGTTAGAAAAAGAGAGGGTAATTGCACCGTTTTCATTCGTTGTTTGGCCGACCTTGATAAGCTGTGATACTCTTACCCGGCATTACAGTGTTACCTTCTGATATTCTTTTAATATTCGTCTTATCATGTTTCCTTCAACCACACCTATAGACTTTATTAATCTTAAAAACTTGTATGACACTTGTGAAAAAAGCCTCAGTTGCATTCATTTAAACCTTAGATTGGGAAGGAATAAACAGGATGAACTCAAATATTTTTTTAGTGAAGCACAAGTAAGCTTTGAAGTTGTGATGTTTTTGGAAACGTGGTCTGCTTCAGAAGACTATGTATTTGTTTCCAACCTATAAATCATACTACATGAACCTAACAGGCAAAAGGCGAGGTGATGTAGCTATGCTAATCTCAAGTTCAATATACTGCCAATTGGTGTCTGAATTCTGCTGTATTTCTCCTTTACATGAAATAATCACTGTTAGATGTGGTACATCAGTGTTTTGTGTATGTTAGCACCCTCCTTCAAATAATGTCCATTTGTTTCTTTCTTTCTTAGGCTCACTGTTAGAATTCGTGAGTGAAAAAATGTGCCTTGATTTTAGGTGGTGACCTTAACGTCAAGATGTTAGCTGAGAGCAGCGTTAAATTTGAACTTGAATCAATGTTAAGCTCGCATTATTGTCGAAATGTTGTAATGGCTCCCATGCGAGTCACTTCACAATTATCAACACTCCTAGATCTTTTTTTTAACAAACTTTGATCCTTCCCTCGTTACAGCTGGCACTTTGATTCACAATATTAGGGACCACATGCCTACATTCATGTCTGTAAAATAACTCAATAATGTACCCAAACAGTGCGAGCAGTATTTTCTGATAAACTTTTGAATCCTGAAACACTGACCCTTTTCAGAGAGCGTTTAGGCAGAACCGACTAGAGCAATGTGTTCACAGCAAGGGCCCCCAATTTAGCATACAATTTGTTTATGAACAAGTTCATCGAAATATATCTTCAATGTTTTCCCTTGAAGTCATTGAAAACATCTAAAAAAGTTGAGACCTAGGGTAAACAATGAGTGTCTTAAGCTTGATTGATTGATATGTGGGGTTTAACGTCCCAAAACCACCATATGGTTATGAAAGACTACGTAGTGGAGGGCTCCGGAAATTTCGACCACCGGGGGTTGATTAACGTGCACCGAAATCTGAGCACACGGGCCTATAGCATTTTCGCCTCCATCGAAAATGCAGCCACCGCAGCTGGGATTTGATACTGCGACCTGCAGGTCAGCAGTCGAGTACCTTAGCCACTAGACCACCGCGGCAGGGCAGTGTCTTATGCCTATAAAAAAGCGGGACCAATTTCTCATGGAATTTAGTCAGTAAGTCCCCAGAATCCCTCAAAACATTTAAAAATCACCGAAATTTTGTCACCAAACGCCTTCATGATGAAAAGAGATTATATTATTCGAACCTACTTAACCCAACACAAGGGCGTACAGAAAACTTCTGGAAGGCACTTAACAGTACGCTTAGTAATCCACTGGAGGCATTAACAAAAATTGTGAAAGATGGCACGTAAATTCAAGGGCCTGAATTAGCTGATGAATTTAACGACTTGTTTTTGTCAGTTGGCGGCACTACAACCAGTAGTACTGCACTAAATTTTATGAATTGAAACAACCAAACAATAATTTTAGAGCCAGTTACAGAAAGTGAATTAGTAGCGACATTTCTGACACTCAGTAACAGCAAAGCCACTGACACAGACGATATTCAAATAAAACCTGCTAAGTATGTTATTGACATACTAGCGCCCTGTCTTGCCTACATTTTTAACATATGTTTGTACACAGGACATTTCCCGCAAAACATGCAGATAGCAAAAGTGAGCCATATATAAAAAGGGTCTCAGAAATTACATGTCCAACTATTGTCCTCTATCGATTCTGCCTATGTTCTCGAAAAGTCTGGAGAAAATGATTTTAAAATGTTTGAACTCTTTTACAGACAAGTTCGACTTAATTAAATTACTTCAGCACTGAAAAATAAATCTACTGAGCTCGCGCTACTGACACAAAAAAAAACACATTCTAGAAAATTTTGAATCCCGAAATACGGTACTTGGTCTTTTTCTTGATTTTCCAAAGGCCTCCAACCTCATTAATGGTAAAATTATCTTACAAAAATTGGATCATTACTGTATCAGAGGTGTTACACACAAATTAATCCCGTCATAGTTGTAGCACCGCACTCAATTTGTCAATATTCAAGGCAAACATTCGGCAACCAAATTAATTAGAACAGGCATCCCACAGGGAAGCATCTTAGGACCGTTTCTCTATATACTTTATGTTAATGAGACGGCTCGTATTGATGAATCAGCCGATTACATTATATACCCTGACGATAAGAGTTTTTTTTGTTCCAAGTAGATGCAGCAATGATCAAGAGAGTCGAGCAAATAACGCACTGCCTAAAATTAACTCATGGGCCCAAGAAAACTACTCAAACTAAACATAAATAAAACAAAAGCTGTTTCATTCCACTCTCACCACAGACAAGTTCAGTTTCCCATTATTTCATTAATTAACTCAGAAATTGAAGTTGTGAAAAGTTTTAAATCATTAGGCATGTAATTTTCACAAAACATGACATAGTTTAGTGATATTATGATTCACGTGATCATCCTATCTTGGGAAATCGGCATTATGCGCCGCCATTGCTACTACTTTCCAGTTTCTGTAAACATGCTCACATATATCTTGTTGTTTTCTTCTTTATTGAATTATGCTTTTATTGTATGGTCCTCAACGACAAGTGTAAATGTTAGAAAACTTACCATCTTGCTAAACAAAACTTTGCGTCTTGGCTGTAAATGACCATATTGCAGCCACACAGCAGAATTGTTTCAAGAACACTGCATAATTCAGGTTAAATCAATATATGATTACAAACTATGTTGTTTATATAAATTCTGTTTACTGAAAAATAATAACACGATAGCCAGAATAGCTAAATTAGAGAAAAAGTTTCCTGCTTATAATGTACGTCAACCTGAAGTGTGGCACATAAGAAAATGTAGAACGAAATACGAAAACCAAATGTTAAAGTTTCAACTGTCTACACTTCTAAACTGTATAATTAGGGAACATAACATTGACATAGGTATCTAGCATATCACCAAAACAATTGTAATTAGTGTTTATGTAATGATGTGATCGAGCGACTATCTTTTTTATGCCTGCATTGTAGTCTTTCACTATTTCTTTTTTTTAATGCACATTGTAAAAACCTCTTTTATTTTGGTTGTCCTTAGCCGCACGTCTTCTGTGCTACGCTGTGTACTGGGGGGTCAGGGCTACTCAAGCTGTTTTCACAGCTTTTACCTGCCTTCGTCGTAACATGTTGCTGCTGCGGAATAAAAATTTCAATTATGAAGCAATGACACTGAAAACTTGCTAAATGTGTGCACTAAATGGAAACGTATTCTAATGTACGAACAAACTGTTATGGAGTGTAAAAGGCAAAAATGTGGGCACATGACTGTCTTGCATTTGTGGGGATGCCTAAACTGTTCCACTGTCAGGAAAAAAAAATGAGCGCAAATAAAAAGACAAAGGGCACCTGCAGACCTCGAAGTCTCGAGTGGTCCACTTCTGAAATGAGAAAATTCTGACAAGTAGCCAAGCAGACACCACGGTACATGTCAACCCATTGGAAAAACTTGTGTATTACTGGTTCCACCACAGTTTGTCCTGGGAACCTCTCGCCTATGAGGCACAATCCCACCCTATAATTAGTTGCTAAATGGCACAAATACTCACAACTGTGTCTTGCAAAACATAATCTTTTATTGTTGCTCGTGCTTGAAGAATGCACTTTCAGTAGGTCAAGCAAAAAGCAGGAAATATAATCTGGACCGATTTTCTGGTATCAATGTACCATGCAATCACTGCCGTTGAGGCAGTCACACATCAGTTCAAATTGCCAGCCAACTCCTGGTGGTGTGTTAGGAAGAGGGAGCAAATACTGAGCACCCAGATTTGCCCTTTCTGAAGGCACATCCTCAAAGTTGTCGCATCGCCCAACTTCAGTTGTTCTGCTGCACGTTTAATACCAAATGTGAGTGCTGAAAGCTACATCACCTGTTACAGCATGTAAAAGTAATTGAACTACAGTGTGTTAGAGTAAAAAGAATATTAAAACAATTACAAAACTAAAAAAGCAATTCATTTCGAGTATTAATTTGTATTGTACATGTGCAGTTGTACAGCAGTTATTCACAGTGTTGTTCTCTTGACTCCTGAGCCAGTGTGACAATTTTATTCGTTGTGGTCTACGGCTACTTGACCCTTCCAATGTGTTAATTTGCCACCCTATGATAATGTATTTCACCCTCACAAGCTAACACTCTTTTAGTCCTGCACATCTTTTTGCGATCTCACCTGTGAAGCAGAAACCACTGCCAAGATACAGTAGTTCTGGCCAACATGCCATCAAGTTGCGTAATAAAGTTTTTCAATTCCACCCTTCGGATGCACATTTTTATACTTGCTTCCTTGTTGGAAAGACTGAAAATTCAGGGTGTTTCTTCCCTAAGTTGTTTTAGAGGTACCCCCCCCCCCACCTGAAAGATACCATAGACTGTTCACCAAACAAACAAACACATCTTGTATTCTGGGTACCTGCCAGAAATCACTACTGCATGTTGCTGGGGTTTGCAAGGAAATAGTATTCTATAGCAGATTAAATGACATCTGAGACATTACTAAGACCTACACTACTGTAAAAAGTAATAAAGAGCACTCGCTCAATGTGTCACAGTGCGCATGCCGCCACTTGGATCACTTCGACTCATCGCAATGAACACCTTATGCACATTTTCCTTTACTAATTTATTTCTGTTCTGGAATGATTGGGCAGACCATGCACCATGCAATAGAATGACAGTGCAGACCATGCCATCGCCTCTACAACCTATAATTGTGATCACAATAGATTCTTAGTGGCTGATGGCTGTAGAGTTGAGTTGAAGCAGAGTCAATTGCACATGCCGACTCGTACAACTCTCTGTGCCATGGAGCCTTCCATGTAATGCAGGTAGCAACATAGTGAAGGCATTTATGACATACTTGTAACAGTCACACATTCTTCAGCATTTGCATCAGACCAAGCGTTACACTATGAATATATAAACACAGAATTATAACAGGCAACTTATTTGTCACATAGCTGCTCTTTTCTCCCATTAACACCCCCTCTGATTCTTTGTAAGTGACTATATGTGCTTACACAAAGTGCAGAGCTTGCCACTAAATCACTGCATAAGATAACGTGGAAATCCTACCAAAAACAGTAGAGGTTGACACACTATAGTAATCACAGATACGGCAGCAAGACATGGCCATAAATTTCTCACATTAGAAAGCTGCTCTTTAGCAAGCTTGATCACCACAGTGGAATCTGTAAAAACATTCCACAATAGGTAAGCTCACTGTTCCTGTAAGGCACAGAAAAATATTATTGCCTCGATACAAGAAAAAGATTTGTATTATGGTTTAGTGCAATTTACATGTGTGCACAAGTACAAATGTACTGAGATGAAAGCATTGTACACGTCATTTGGAAGTATTAGAATAAGCTCAGCCATGCAACAAACACTAATGCCAAAAGATACAAAAAATACAAAACTACATACATACACATACAAGTACAAATGATGTAACAAAAAACGGCAGGAAAAGGCTTGGTTATTGCACAACATTTCAAAGCACATTTGCTTTGTCACAGCACAAATGCCCCCTGAACTAGTTGCACTCTTTTCAGTCTTTGGACATCACAAGAGTGGTGCATTTTTAAAAATGAAGCTTTTCTTTTAGTTTACACACTGCATACATTGAAGTCTTGTAAAATGCTGTGAGCAATATTTAGATCGAAAAGTTCAATATAAATATGCAAGTGATGATATGCTAACAGTGTCGAACTCATTTTCACCTCAAAAGCTTCATTTGCAAGGAATAATAACATTAAGAACATTAACCAAAGCCAAGCTAGCTCTCACTGCAATAAAAATCTGGTTCTGACATTCCAAACAGTACTCTCCTGAGCAACACATCATTAAAACACATGTATGCAGCATCTGACGCATAAAAAGTAGTACAATGGCTCTACAATGTTTACTGTACTGTACCACAAGTTTTCATGGAACACTTCACATTTACCTGATGATTTAAACACAAGTATGAAAGACTTACTTTGCTGTAAACAAAAGCCATGTGGATAGATAAATAAAAATCTTTGGAATGTAATGTCTCACACAACCAAAATATCTTAAGGCACAGTTATACTAAAAAAATTAGTATATATTTGAGCATTTCGGTAGCTGGACACTACGCATGGGTGTTTGTGCGAAGTGAGGGAAGTAATGTGCTACCCGTGACCTTATGATGCCCACTGACTAATGCTGTGCTGCCAAAATATATCAGTAGAAAAAAAAAGGCACCACTGCATGCACCTATCCTGCAAAACATGTAAAAACAATGCCACCAAGGAAGTTCATATTGAATATAAAGTCTGATTGGCAGACAAAAACTGCCCCCAGCACATCTGAACAGCTGAGCACATCAGAACTCGCTGTGAGTATCACTTGAATCTCCAGGTTCTTGAGCATTCTTTTTTAGTCGTCGCGATTTCAAATTGGACAGGACTTCATATGCCTTTTGAATCTCAATAAACTTCTCTTGAGCTTCCAGCTTTTTACCATGTTCTTTAAAGCGATCAGGGTGCCACTGGCGAGCCAGCTTGCGATAAGCTGCTGTGATGACTTCTTGAGAAGCACTCGGTTCAACACCAAGAACCTAGAAATTGCAGCAGAGAATATTGAGTTACATAACACTTTTTATTATATATAATCAAACATAGTCTTACAAGTAGTTTGTGTGAATAAAAAATCAGAAATAATTTAAAATTATATTGCAAATAGTAGGATCTATCTTGCCAAATAGCTGGAAATTCACTTCACCAGTTAACTGCACTTATTGGGTATGGTTTGTTTTTGCATGCACCACACTTTCTTTAAGCAGACTGTCAGATATTAAAACTGCCGTTTCACCGAAACATAGTAGCTAACCAACTACAAAAAGTTAGCATATTTGAAAGAACTGATCCATCATCCTAATTGGTAAGTAAAATGAAGAAATTCACACTTCATTGACTTTCCTAAATAGGAGTACATAAATGTGCAAAAACTTGGAATTACAGTAGGCTTCTTTGCGAGCCTCAAGGAAGGAGCAGTAAAAGAAATTGAATAGCAATCAATTGTGTCACATGTCTCAGAATTTTTACGAAATTATTGCAATGTTAGTATCTCGTATGACACAAATTTGAATCTACAATAAATTTTCCATTCCACTCCATTATGTACGAGAAAATTGTGATTTTCGCAGGTCGCTGGTTCAAATCCCGACTGCGGCAGCTGCATTTCCGATGGAGGCGGAAATGTCGTAGGCCCGTGTGCTCAGATTTGGGTGCACGTTAAAGAACCCCAGGTGGACAAAATTTCCGGAGCCCTCCACTACGGCGTCTCTCATAATCATATGGTGGTTTTGGGACGTTAAATCCCACAAATCAATCAAAATTGTGATTTTCACAAATATTTTGCACATTTTTGGCCACAACACGAGTGGTTTAAGATGTAACACTGACGTACAGGTACATATGGTAAACGTTGCTTATATAAAACTAGCCTATTTTCATAGTTTAACAGAAAGTTCGAATGATTTAACTAAGTATCAGGGACTGTACAAAATAATGAAATAATGGCAACGAGTGCCAAAATTGTTTTGGCACATACTACACTAATTTAAATGAAGTCTAAAAAGTATGCAAACTTTGTAACTGTAAGCCGATTACAATTGACCAAAAATTAAGAGATTATCAACTTTCAAAACTGTCCCTGTCTTTGTATATGCACTGAATCAAGGTGTTTTTTCTATGGGAAAAAAAATCGTAATCCATAATGCAATGGAATACAGCAGCTGCAAGTGAGCCATCACTTGCAAATCATAGATTCACCACTTGAGTGCTCTTCCCTTCTAAAAAGGTTGCATGGGGCATATTCTTGTCACACAACAATAACTTTCATCTTGCCTGCTTGCATTTCTATTTTTGAAAACTAGGTGCTCACTATTTCACTGTCATGAAGACTCTGACATGCTGATACGGTGCACATTGTTCATGACCTGAAAGCATGTGGCATTAAATCATAAAAAGGCACGTGAGACAGATTACTATTGTTGCCTGGAAATATGCATTCAAAGGGTCAAAATACTTATACAGTATTCTACACTGCTTGCCTATCATCTGCCAGTCATCTTTGAATGTGCAGGACCATTTTCTGTACAGCTGACACAACAATTGTACTGCACTCTACACTCTGTAACACACTTCATTTCCCACTGTCTCCTCTGTCCACTGGTGAGCACAATAATTGCCAAGACGTCTCATTGTATTGCAAGTAACAGTGGCTAAAACAGCTAGCACTATAAAAGACTTTGTGGCAAACTCATTTGGAATGATGAAGCACATTAAAACATAATTACTGAAAATGGGCAACATGGAAAATAAAAATACACCAATTACTATTTATCTTCAATATAAGAATGTAATTACTACCAATTAAGCTATTATGAATTAGGTTACCGCTATTAAACAAATTTTTACGACTCCACTCACCTTAACAGCATTGGCTTCTCCTTGGGGATCAAGAGCCGTCATAAAGAGCCGCCAAAGTTCACTCCATCCCTGATGTCGTACTTGGTTGTACATAGCCGAAATGACACTTTTGAAGTCCTGCCAGAGCGGGCTGCTAAAGAAGTGCCAAATTGAGTCACGGCACTTGACCTCTGTGCCATCATTGTCAGTCATGCTACAGTTGAAGTATAGCCATGAGGCCCACAGGGAACTGTAAAGCAGGCCACACGTGATGAACACAGTCAGCCGTTTCCACAACGGCTTGGCAGGTCGTGGCTGAAGGCGCCATGTTTTAGCATAATTTTTGAAGAAGTAGCTGGAAGCCAGGCTGGTCCAAAAAACACTATGCGTGCTGAAGAAGTAGAGGGGGTATGTCAGGTATGCTCCCAGCAATGGCATCTTGAAATTGCCTTTCTGTTCACCTATATTCCCAACCAAGTGGACACCTGACAAGAAAGTCAGAACAAATACCAATGAAACATAGTCTAAACAGTGAAAAAATAAATAAATAAGAACAAAACAGTATGTAGCTAGCAGTGAATTGTATAAGCAGGAACGGCTTACGAGATACAGATGCAGCAATCTTAACAGCACAGTATGTACTAGCAATAAACTGTTTCCCTTTTTTAGAGAATCCTTTATAACAATGCAGACCATGTGGGCTCCAGGAGTAAGTGCCAATACTACAACATACGTTTTTGTCTATCACAAACTGCATCTTTCCAAAAGATAACTTATGTACTCGGAACAAAGAAAACAAGACTACTTTTTTATACTAGAGGTCACATACAACAGCGCAAAGGGCCAGCAGAGTGATTCCACGTAAGATTGAACAAAGCATGGCTGATTGACCTCTTAAATTTCCTTCAAAATTTTATATATTGTTGCCTGATCAGTGGAAAGAAGAGTCTGCAACTGGTTTGTTGGCTTGTAGACGCAACACGTCTACAAGCCTTCTCAGACTCAATTATTGTGCTGAAATAACTTGTTCCTGTAAGCAAGCTGGCCTACTCATGTGCTCTGAGCTGATGCAGAAGCACTCATATGCTTTATTGGTATTTGCATTGTATTGTAAAAAAATATAGCTTACACTATTTCAGAGTAATGAATAATGACATTTGCATGGGCAGTGTTTGAAAAGTAAGTTACCCGTCAGACAGCTAGTCGAGTTACTGCAGTAGAGCTATTTAATAAACTGCCTGTGTGCTCTCGTGTGAACAAACATTCAAGATAATGAGAATAAGTTGGACATACACTGTTGATTATGTTGGTACACTCATTCATCATAAGACACGCACGTTAAATATTATACCCTAGAAATATAATGGCATTTTCACTGGTATATGAAGCAGGTTTTCTCCCTCTTTTGCAACGAATCCGAATTTAATTGGTAGATTTGGAGTGGATCCGCGCTTTTAACTGGTAGTTTCAGAGCAACTCGCTACGAGGCAGATTGTTCTCACTGCTTCGCCGCCAAGTTGCAAATTCGTACGACGAGCACCATACGTCTATCTGTCATTATGCGTGCACTGAGCTTTGGCTGCGTTCGGTGCTGTGGAGGAACTGCTGTCTAGAGGCGAGCATGTGTCAAGCAGCAGCCAACACACAACTGGAGACATTTCCATGTGCTCGTCCATATTTAACATTGTAACACAAGAAAACGGTAACCCTACTTTCCGCGACAGCATGGTCGAAACGCGAGTTTTGTAGTGGCGACAAATTTGCCATGGAAAAGTAGAGAGCAGAAAGGGGAATCATTTTCGGAACCGGCTTAGTGAGGTATACGTAAACAATGTCCGGAACGACTTTGCGCGGCGCATTCACGTGTTTCACTGGTAGATTTGGCTTGGTGCAATCCAAGTGCTCGCTCCAGGATTACGGCAGCCGCTCCAGGTCTCCCGGAGAAAAACGGCAAAAGTATTGCATGCAGGACAGCAGGAAATCGATTAATTTGCTATCAAAGTAATAAGTTAATCCTTTATTCCTGATTAATATCTCCTTAATTATTATTCAGTTCATGTCATGCCACTGGACCAACCAGCTATGAGTTTGTACATAAACCTCAGATTTACTTGCTCAGCAGATAAGAAGGGGATACAAATACTGCAACTTAGTGATTGTAGACCTCCTAGCAAAAAAGCAACCCTTTGGTGCAGCATTTCAAGGTCGTGAAGGGTAAAATAAGATACCGCAGTGCCACTTGTTCAGTTTAACTTGATATGACTATTGAAAAGGAAAGGAACTTTCTTCTGCCAGAGAATCAAAATTGAGAAGACTTTGTGTATGCACACAGACCATTTATGCATTGGAGTGATACTTATATGCATTAGATACGTCTTCTCCCACAAAGTGCCCATGATGTGTCGTTAAATTAAACTGTCAATACAAGAAAGCATGGCTTACTTTTAGGATGAGATTGCACGAGGCTAGCGTTCAATGTCTTTTTTGTGTCCATGCATGAACAATAAAAACATGAATGTAGGCCAATCTCACAGAGTGTAATACTTGGACAACTCACAGCGAAGGTCATGCAGGCTTCAAGCATTCTGCCCGCAGAGCTAATAACGTAATAATTATTAATGGTGTTTATACATCAAAATATGACCCCCGTGATCATGGTTACATATTCCCATGAGACCTCGATCATGGTGGCATAGTGGGTTTGTCGGTATTGCATCCTACTTGATGGTAGCATAAGCGAAATGACAGGGTCAACAGAAATGGCACTCGGTGCTGTTGTGTAGAGAACACTCCTATTGTCCCTATTGTTGAAATTGTGCTACCATCAAATAGGATCCAATGTAAACAATTTAAAACCATACAACAAATGGTTCACTCAGTCTGTGCAAGAAAAACTTGCTTTTAAGTGCTGCACTAGTCCAAGTCACTCAACTACTATATAAATGTCATGTATAGACCAGAAATCAGTGTATATCTCAGAAATCACAAAGCTATCCCCACTACTAAATGTTGAAAGTTAAAACATGAACCCTTATCCAAGCCTATGTCATGTGCTACAGTATCACTGATTGTCCACCTTCCCAGAGTGAAATGGTTATCTAAATTTACTTTTTTTTCTCAAGGCATCTGTACATAAAACCCAGTTTTACGTACAGAAGCCAACCAGTCCAATAGTATGATTGTACGATTAATCAAATGAGAAGGTATTTCTGATTATTTGGCTTCAAATCATTCGATGATGCTGAACTATAGTATGCACCGATCCTTAAGGCCCATAATTGCTACTTATTCTACTTCTAATGCACGTCGATGAGACATACAAGCAGTCGATTCCAAAAATCTACAGCATTTTAACTACATAGCAAAAACAAGGATCAAGACCTGGCTACAATTACAAAGTAATATTACAATTACAAAGTAATACACCAATTATCACATGCTTAGGTTGTTAGAGACACCAGGAATGAATAGGTTCACTCATAGGTAGTTGACCGGAGGCATAAATTTTCACCATATACACAAACTACTGTAACACACATCTCCCCCACTCCCCTAAAAAAATCCTAGCTACATCTCTGCACTGGGTGTACATTAATGAAGTCAAAGTGGCAAATATTACCAGAGTTCCCGACTATAACATGCCTCATAGGCAGACTCACTTTGACAGGCGAAACCAGAGAATTTCATTTATTTTAATCAGCCACTATAACAACAACTTCTAGGCAGCCCATACAAGATTTTTTGTCCCAGCCTAGGTGAAGATATTTGACCAGACTTGCCATATTTTTCATTTATTTGATAGATTGTTTACTATCGCACTCTCTTCCAACCAACACAGCACTGCAAATGTCTCTCACGATGCCCTGTTTTAATGTTTCATTAGTGTCAGCAACATAAAATTGAAAGTACCTTTCTTCATTTACAAGCTCCTCAGGTGACAGCGCACATACTTGTGAATGACAATACTCACATGTATCACAAAATCAATATATGAAATTAACATTACAAACACTTTAGAAATGTTTTACATTGTTTAGAAACAGGAACATAATTAACTTCTAAAATTTTCGTATTCAAATTATTCAGGAAGTTTTTTGTTTTCCATAAAGAAAGCGACCGAATCCCACTAAAAAAAAGGTGTAAGGCAGGGAGACACGACCTCTCCAATGCTATTTACCGCGTGCTTACAGGAGGTTTTCAGAAGCCTAGAATGGGAACAGTTAGGGATAAGAGTTAATGGAGAGTATCTTAGTAACCTACGATTCGCTGTTGATATTGCCTTGGCGAGTAACTCAGGGAAAGAATTACCGCTCACAATTACTGAACTGAACACGAAAAGCAGAAGAGTAGGTCGAAAAATTAGTATGCATAAAACTAAAGTAATAGGCAACAGCCTCGGCAGAAAACAGCGCTTTGCGATAGGTGGAGAGACGCCGGAAGTTGTAAAGGAATATGTCTACTTAGGACAGGTAATAGCCGCGGAACCGAACCATGGGAGTGAAATAACTAGAATAAAGATAGGGTGGATCACATTCGGGAAACATTCTCAAATCATGAATGGTAATCTACCACTAACCCTCAAAAGGAAGGTATATAACAGCTGCGTCTTGTCGACACTTACCTATGGAGCAGAAACCTGGAGGCTTACAAAGAGGGTTCAGCTTAAATTTAGGATGTAAAAAGAAACTGATAGGTGTAACCTTAAAAGACAAGAACAGAGCAGAGTGGGTCAGGGAACAAACCAGGGTTAAGGATATCATAACTGAAATGAAGAAGAAATGGGCATGGTCCAGGCACATAACGCGTAGGCAGGATGATCGCTGGTCATTAAGGGTAACTTACTGGATTCCCACAGAAGACAAATGCACGAGAGCGAAACAGAAAGTTAGGTGGGCCGATGGGATTAAAAATTTTGCAGGTATAACCTGGTAGCAGAAAGCACAAGACCGGGTTGATTGGGAGATCATGGGAGAGGCCTTTGTCCTGCAGTGGGCGTAGTGAAGCTGATAATGGCTGAACATTTCAATTTAATGGCTTTCTCTTATACACACCTTTATGTTAGTCAATAGAGTTTCTTCTTCCTGATGCACCAGTATTTCTTACAACATCCCATGTACTAGATGGTGGCATTTTAAATTGACCTTCACTGCACTGACATGCATGCACTTGTGTGCTACTACTGAATATTAATGAGAATGAGATATCGATGTTTCCAGTTGTCATTATTATTATGCCTAACAAGTAAAACGAGCTCTTAAGATTTTCAGTTCTTTCCTGCTATTGAATGATGCAACACTTTACAGGGCCACAGGCGTCCTCAACTTTTTTTTTAATGGCGGTACTCTTTCTAATTGGATAGAACAAATCAAACATTCCTTCTCGGTCATCTGACGGGTGTTAGACCTATTTGTTGTACTGAGCTCACTAAACATACTTTGTTTGACGCAATATGACTTAGTAAAATGAAGACATGTTATCATTGGATGTAATGAGAAAAACCCATGAAGGTTGCAGTCAGCGATTCAAACATATTCTTTAGGAAGTCGTGTCACCTGGTGACTTTGCACACACATATGATGCTTACTCGTTTAATGAACAAAATGCTAACATAAGCAGTACTTACCTATTGCCACAGCCAGTGGCACTGGTAGAGCAGCGAAAGCCATGTACTCCTCAGGAACGTACTCCGCCGGTATGGCGTACAATATCATGTAACCGAGGGCGTCTGAAACAATCATTTGCCCTATGGACCTAACAGTACTCGATGGCGGCTTCGCATGCTTGCGTATTTTTTCTTTCAATTTGTCAACAGTCTCGCGATCTCCGTTGGCGTATTTGACATAATATGGAATCCGCCAAATATCTCTGATCCATCCAAGGCCGAAGTAACCACCCACTGTAATCAACCACACAAGAGCGTGCCGGTCGCGATCAAGGTATAAGTGATGTGCGCCTAGGGCACCCATCGTAAGCCATAACAAATAAGTCACACACAGGCTTTTCGCCATCAGTGTATACGCGCACTTGCACCCACGAGAACGAACACGTTTCAAACTGATGAGCACACGTCTCACTGGAATGTAGTCAATCTACGTATCAGTCAGTCTGCCGGCGTAAAGACAACTTTTTCCAATCAAGGTATCGGCAAAAGTCTACGCAATTGAAGTGCAAATCGCGCGCGCACTCCGTCATACGGCTCACATCAGCGCGCCTTCGCTGGCGACGGGCTCAACGAGCTTCTTGCACACGTCGACCAGACTGGATAGTGGACAGATTTTTTTTCGCTGCAATGACGGAGGCAGTATGTAGGCAGATAATACACGCAGCGCATATAAAATAAAGTAGTTAGCTACTGCCACCATGCGGTAATAACATTTTCAGGCGCCGTTTGCTTGCGTTTATGACCTCTTCTTGCTTGCCAATGTGCTTGCGTTAAAGTATGGTATCGTATGGAGTGAGCGAGGAGGTTTTACCACAGAACACTTACCAGGTTATATCTTGCTTTCTTCATAAAACTTTTGGAGTGGTGAAAAAGCTTCGCGGCATACAACGGCTGACGTTGACACGCCGCCATATTGCTCAGGGCAGAAAGCGTGCGTGCCGGCGTGCGTGGCTTCTGCATTGTTTTTTGTGATGGTGACGTTGCGTGCGGTGTCTGTAATCCAACAAGGCGGCTGTGGAAGTCAAATATGATCACTTGTTTAGACGACGGCGGGCGCTTGCACAGCTCGAATCGCACGAAGCAAACACGTACCGGGCATAACTTTCCACGTGTTGCCAGGCATTTTGTGCTCGCTTTCTGTGAAGGCATTCGCCTGTGAAAATATTTCCCTTTTGTGTGCGGGTGCCATAGAAATACTTTGCAACATTTTCTTGTAAGTTTTAGGTTTCCAAAACGAGTCGGATTGCGTAGTACATAGGAGCGCGCTGTGAGGCGAGAAGGTTGAACGCGATAAAAAATGCTGTCATATGTTAAGTACTTAAACTTAATTTTTCTTGTGTTCGCTCGCGCCTCCCTGAGGTAAATGATACTCCTTGTGTTATGATTTTCTTGTCTTTACATACTACTGAATATGATTTTGGAGCAATGTGGGAAAACTAAGAAAGCAGACGTGAATTTTTCACACAATTGAGGATAGTAATACATAAACTGCGATAAAGTGCAAATTTTCTCCGAAAAAGTAATAACCTCTGAAAAACACCATGCGAATTTTAAGAAATAGGCAACTTGAAGAACATGTATTAGAAAAAGATGCACCTCAAACAACGATATTTTGGTAGCCCTCATAAAGGCTTTTCTCATTCATGAAAAGCCGTTATAGTACATTTGGGTGTGCCTCAATGCCGGGTAGCTCGGAGTTGGAGTCGCTCTCATCAGTTTAACCTTCACTCAGTTGTAATATTGTGTTTCTTCTTGGACAGACGTTGATTATCTCATTTGTTGAGCTCGTTGCAAAGACATAGTCGCTGTCCACTATTCTGTCAGCAGTATCAAAAGATATGTGAAATAGATTCTTCGTTGTCACTGTGGTCACAGACTACGGTATCGGCCATCTCAATGCGGAAAGCGTAGGACAGCTGGCTATGCTTTCGAGTATAAATATATCTATATGCGCTTTTCACTAACAAAGAAAAGGCGGAATGAAGCAAATGAAACATGCAAAAAAATGTAGATAGAATCATACAAGTTGATGAAATTTTGAAACGCTAAAAAAGTGCGTGAGCGCAGGTTCCCCTGCCCTTTTGAGCAACGAAAAAGACTTAATCGGGATCATGAAATATGCTCTATTGATGACTGTTTGTTGTGTCCTCTGACAGCTCATGTCACTGGAACTTTCTGGAAGCTTTGACCTACATACGTCTTATCACACAGACTTATCCGATGTAGCGCGAAGAGCTTTATGATGGTCAAGAAAGAAGGCATGCTGGTCGTTTTCTATTCACGCACCACTTTAGATATGACAACTTACGACAAAATGTGCCACTTTCAGCGCAAAGGTGATGTAATGAGAGTGGTAGCGACAAACTAAATCAGGCTAAAGTTTTACATCCAGTGTTGCGTAACTCTACAAAACGCTGCTGCAACAGAACACGGCCACTCGCGGTAAAAAAAGGGGAATCCGCACAGTCACTTTTCGTTGAGAGCGAAGAACGTAGAAGGGTATACAAGCCGTCCGCTGATGTCTATCAATTTAGCATATGCCACCGCGTTCTTATAGTCAGCGTTCACAGCCGCTGCTCGAACGCTCCTCCCCACCCCACTTTTACCTCCACGTGTTTTCATGCGCCTTCAAAGCAAACATGGTGTTTACCCTTTGCTTCAGCAGCATTTGATGGCATGCTTCACGCACGGGTTAATCTTCTCGCGTGCGCCCTCTGATCGACGGAGATGGGACGATACGTTTGATCAGCCATTCTCGTCTCCGGCGTTCATGAGCTTTTACGCGCGCGTAGATCATAGGGTACACAGGGGAATGACGTCGATGGGGACTATTTTAAGAAACACGACGTCGATGGCGATAACCTACGATAATGTCCATATGGTTCATATCGCGATAACACACGGTTGCGATAAAACACGAAATTGTAGGTTTACTGGAATGCTATTTTTTTAGCCTCTCCGAAGAAGCCCTACAGATTAACATACGCTCCGATCCCATACACAGGAAGAACTTTTCGTCATTTTAATTGGCAGATCCTACGAAATATGGGGATCAATGTAAAGAGAAGCATTCGCGCGGAGTGTGACCTTGTTGTATTCTTAATTAGGCCAAACATTAAGAAATTATGCTAAATACATGTACAAATCTTGTCGCTCAGACATATCTTAAACAGAAGCGTATGCTTTATATAACCAGATGTTTACAGTTGTGCAACAATGGCAGCAGCAACATGGTTATCACCAACATAGAAAAGGTAAGCGGATATGTAGCGCTTGTGCTTGCGAGGATGGTAACTCTCGTTAGTGGTGCGTCGACCAACTTCAGCAAATGTCGATGAAGCGTATAACTGACGCTGAGTCAACGCGAATCCTGTGTCAGGAGCACATATGTGATGTTTATAAATTTAAATGACCAGCGACGCAACCACAATTGCCGTTTTGCCAGCAATACGACGTTGCCCCGCCGCGGTGGTCTAGTGGCTGAAATACTAGGCTGCTGACATAATTTTTTTCGCTTTCTGGGAAGGTTTTTATAGATTTAGCATAAAAATCTTTTTTTTATAGACACTTTGCCTAATGTTTATTTGCATGTGCGGTTTTGCAGTCTTTTGTACTTGCGTTGCACTTATCTAAAGACTTTGCGAAACTAGTGCACCTACGGTCGCTTGACAAGATGGTACAGAAAAAACGTTGCGACTTTTCGTCGTGAGTTTCAGCGCTATAGCAGTGTTCCACTGCATTTATGTATCTGCCTTGACACTTCTCGGCCTTTTGGCTAGGACCTTTTTGAGTCACCAGGCGGCAAGTTTTTCAAGCTTAGTCATCCCCCGGGGCTCGCGATCGGCTCGGCCGGTTGCCTGCAACGCGAGGATGGCTTTCCGGGCGCCCCCTCCTAAAGCGCACTGCTTTTGCTTCAACGCTTCGACGGATTCTACCGCAGATGAAATCATCGACGCAATTGAAGAAGTAACCGGGCCAAGAGGTCTCAAGTCCCTTCAGCACCAAGGCGGAACGAAGTTCTGCATCGCAGTAGCCACTGCGACGGCCGCAGCGAAGCTGTCGTCACGGGGAAGTTTCGTCCTCAACGGAGTCTCAGTACCAGTCACCCAAGTCGGACCTCAAGTAGTCGCAGTAACAGTCTTCAGGTGCCCCCTCTTTCTTGGGGATGCCTCTTTGGCTGCAGCATTCACCCAGTACGGCAAAGTAATTGACATTTATGAACAAACGTTCAAAGGGCGCCAGCACGTGGGCAACAGTCTCCGAGTTGTACGGCTGGAGATGATCAAACCAGTGCCGAATTTCCTGACCGTGCAAGGGCACCGTGTAATGTGCGACTATCGGGGCGTGACGAAAGTCTGCTCCCGATGCTCCCAGGAAGGCCACGTGGGGAAGGACTGCCACACCCCGAGATGTGCGAGGTGCGAAGCGTTCGGCCACGACACGACAGGATGTTCCGCCTCATGCCGCCGGTGCGGCGGGGAACACGCGACCGCAGACTGCCTTCAGCCAAGGTCGTATGCGGCGGCCGCGAGGGAGAAACCTCCCCCAAGTCCGACAGCCCCCGAACCAGAACACGAACCTCGTGCGGGAGTCACTGCCCCCCGGGGCAATACCGAAGAGGTACAAGGTGGGAGGACGCACAACCCTCAGGAAGAAGAGCCCATTAAAGACTGGAGTGCAGTGGTTGAAGATGCGTCCCCAAGCCCGCAGGTGACAAACGACTCCGCATCCGTGTCGGAGACGGAGTCACTGTCGGGAGCAAGTCAGCTCACCTCAACGAAATCGGACGACACAAGGCAGTCGTCAAGCTCCATTGAGGACGCACCCCCAAACACCGAACCCTCGCAGGGCACACCTGTGGGCGTCAAGCACCCCAGCGGGCAGGTGGCCGTCGGGCGAGGACACCGCACGCCCGCGAGTGAACCTCAGCATCGGAAACCATCGGGCGACCCTCCGAGCACGCAGCAGGACCAACAACCGCTGAGCCCGGTGTCCCGAGTGCTGAAGCAGAGCCGAGACCCCAACCTTCGGAACCCACTGAACGACATTTTTGGACCTTTTGGCGAGGACTACGGAATGCAGCTGGACAAACCGGATTTGAAACGGCCATACCAATCGTCGGAGTCAAGCTCCGAGGAAGTGGGAAACCCCCGCAAGCAGGCGGCGACGGGAACGCCGCATACCCAGGGCCCCTCCGGGCCCACGCCTCCGGACGCGTAAGGCGTCGACTGACCCGTCGTTCGCCGGCGGGAAGGTATTCCTACCTTTAGTAATCATTTCTCTAGCAACATGGTTAACATAATTACCCTAAATGTACAGGGGTTTTGTAAACCCGATAAACAGACAGAGGTTATCCATTTTGCTAGAGAGAATTTTATTGACCTTTTGTTTCTTCAAGAAGTGAATTTTGTGTCGCCGGCAGATGTAACAGCGTTTCGTAATCGGTTTAATTTACCGTGCTACTTTTCACTAGCGTCCACGCGCAGTTGCGGCGTCGGCGCCGTGATAATGAACGCCGCCCTTTTTTCCACGCTCTTTTGCACTGTTGATAGCGACGGTCGAGCGTTGCAGTTGAAATGTAAGATAGGCAGCCTGCGTTTGCGCTTTGTATGTGTGTAC